AATGTTAAGAATATGACATAAAACATGACATACAATTAATAAGGATAGAAAATATTTGCCTTTATAAAGGTAAAAAATGCACCTGTAAATCAATTTAAGGGGGCAAATATTGTCCTTTAATAGAAAAGGTGTAACTGCGGTCTAAGTGGAAGAGAGGGGATAAGCAGAAGAATGTTAAATGCCCCAGGGGGTACGCCGCTGTAAAAAGTTTGAGAACCACTGGGCTAAACGAACCGCACCCGAGCGCTCACACTCGTCAAACGAACCAGGCTTTGGGGGTCAAACGCGCTCCGGCACAGTTCAAAACTGCTAGTGTGAGTACACCCAAGTGTGCTTATCATTTGGCAAATGATGGTTGTGGAGGGATTCACGTGTGCAGCTAATGATTGAAGTCTCAGAGCAGTCAGTAAATACCACATGAGCTGTGAGTTTAACCTGCTTATTTTACGACTCCTCCGTATCCAGTTTAAGTTGCATTCCTTGTATAAAAGCAATAATTCACTCGAGATTGTGCTGTATTGTGAATTTGCACATCATACTTAATACCTTTTAGACATTTACTACTATACTCACAATAGAACACAGCCTCTTGTACCTTAAATAAAATATAATATAATATATGATATAGAATCAGAATGAGCTTTATTGCCAGGTATGATTACACATGCAAGGAATTTGTTTATAATATAATATAATGATTCGTATAATTAAGAGCACATTGTTTAATTTAGGCAGGGCAAGAACTGAAGACAACAATATAATACATGATGAGTGGTTAATGATTTATTTCTAATGATTTTATCTGAATGAGAGAAATGTGACTGTGTTCTGATGTGTATCTACTAGGGTTGAGTAGCAGTCAAACAAGCCTAGAATGTGACAGGATTGGATCACAGTTTGATCACAAGGATCCTTATAGGATCAAATAAGAATAAGACTGTGGTGGATAAACAAAAATTACAAAATTGCAATTCACAAATTCACATTCAACTCCTACTGTATATTGTGTAATGTTTCTCAGAAGACTACACGGACTATTTTGCAATGAGATCTTGCTATTGAACACTAAGTTAAACACAGAGGAAGCTGTAGGAATTTTGTTATTTTGCAGGAGTTTTGTTGTTTGCAATCCAGCAAGGTTTTGATGTTTTACAAAGGCCTTAGTCGGACACATAACAAATACAGCTTTTGTTCTATGTTGGATCCCATGAGCAAATTATAATCAATCCTTCTGGATTGATTGATAGGACTCCAAAAGCGATCCTGCGCAAATTCCTGGGATTGTTTGACTTCGTGAGATCTGTCTGATCAGTGATTCTCAACAACACACGTCCAGGCCCTTCCCTTGTATGTTATTTATTTCTAAATATTCTGCCATTTGTCGATGGTTTTGAGTTTAGTGCTTGTTTCTTTTTTTTATCGCGCAAAACAGTGAAACATTCCACGAGTGCGTTTCCAGCGTCTGAAACTACTGTCTGGTTAACGTTAGGCGTTGTTGTGCAACTTTTCCTGTCAAAACAACAGACCTTGAGCGGATAGTACAGCGAAAGCCGCACAATCACAACAGCTCTTGCTGTTTTGTATATCGGGAAGTTAGAAACATACAGTTAAAAGTGACCACAGACTGAAAAACAGCTTACCGTGTAGTGCTCTTCATGCAGTGCGCACAGCTGAACTGTAGAGGTGTGGAAGGACTCTGCGCGGAACCCCTCCCACTCCACGGTCCTACTGCGCACTGAAAACTAGCGCTGTGGGCGGAGCCTATGTGTTAGCACCTCCCATTCGGTCAGCTGGGGCCTCAGCTTTAGCCCCACCCACACTAGACTGTCCTAAATGCATCCATCCATGTATTTTACAACTTCAACAAGACAGACAGCTGGACATACGATCGTTTTACCCATTGCTGTCCAAGACTAATATACTTTCTTAAATATGAAAATTCATAATCGAAATGCCATTTAGTAAGCTAAATTTATGATTGATTAAAGTTATAATTAAATGTATTTAATTAGAATTGGTTAGAATTAAATTTATTTATTTATTTACTGTAGCCTACTTGTGGGAAGCTACAGTGTCAGTGAAACTGTAAAATTCGTTAACTTTTAGAAATGACACAGTGACTGTTAAAAGCTATGAAATTGAATGTGAATTTACTGTAGAACTGTGAAAATCTTTGTTTGTTTGTTTTACATTTACATTTATTCATTTAGCAGACGCTTTTATCCAAATCGACTTACAATTGGGGAATACAAGACAAAACCTTGTATCCTGAATCTAGATAAAAAAACAAACAGGGAATCCTTTCAGTTTGATTTATTTGTTTGGTTGATTGTTGGTTTTCTGCAAACATCTAAAATAAAACAATAACAATCAGTAGTACTTAAGTACTGCTAACATATCAACATATCAAAAAATGGAAAAAAAATAGAGAGAGATGTAACATATCTACACTTAATAATAGTAGATAATAATATAATAATAGGTAATAATAGACCATATCATAGTACTGAGACTGCTCTCATTAGAGTTACAAATGACCTGCTCTTATCATCTGATTGTGGTTGTATCTCTCTATTAGTGCTACTGGATCTTAGCGCTGCGTTCGACACTATCGACCACGACATTCTTTTGCATAGACTAGAAAACTTTGTTGGTATTAATGGAAGTGCATTAGCATGGTTCAAATTGTACTTATCTGACCGCCATCAATTCGTAGCAGTGAATGAAGAGGTATCATATTGATCATAAGTGCAGTATGGAGTACCTCAAGGCTCAGTACTAGGTCCGTTACTTTTCACGCTTTACATGTTACCCTTGGGAGATATCATCAGGAAACACTGTGTTAGCTTTCACTGTTATGCTGATGATACTCAGCTCTATATTTCTTCGCGGCCCGATGAAACATACCATACCATAAAACTAGCGGAATGCATAGTCGATATAAAAAACTGGATGATGAGTAATTTCTTACTGCTAAATTCTGAAAAAACAGGTGTTAATTATAGGACCTAAAAACTCTGCATATAATAACCTAGAACACTCCCTAAGACTTGATGGCTGCTCTGTCAATTCTTCGTCATCAGTTAGGAACCTAGGTGTGCTATTTGATAGCAATCTTTCGTTAGAAAGCCACGTTTCTAGCATTTGTAAAACTGCATTTTTCCATCTCAAAAATATATCCAAATTACGACCTATTCTCTCAATGTCAAATGCAGAAATGTTAATCCATGCGTTTATGACCTCAAGGTTAGATTATTGTAATGCTTTATTGGGTGGTTGTTCTGCACGCTTAATAAACAAACTCCAGCTGGTCCAAAATGCAGCAGCTAGAGTTCTTACTAGAACCAGGAAGTATGACCATATTAGCCCGGTTCTGTCAACACTGCACTGGCTACCTATTAAACATCGTATAGATTTTAAAATTCCTCTGCACAATGTGACTTTGCTGCAGCCTGGAATTGAACTGCTGGTTTCGTCTGGCCAGAGGAGAACTGGCCCCCGACTGAGCCTGGTTTCTCCCAAGGTTTTTTCTCCATTCTGTCACCGATGGAGTTTTGGTTCCTTGCCGCTGTCGCCTCTGGCTTGCTTAGTTGGGGACACTTAATATCCAGCGATATCGTCGACATGACTGCACAGATACTATTTAAACTGAACTGAGCTGGATGATGACATCACTAAATTCAATGATGAACTGCATTTAACTGAAAATGGGATGTTTACTATTATCATTTTGCATTATTGACACTATTTTCCTATTTAATGCTGTAAAATTGCTTTGACACAATCAGTATTGTTAAAAGTGCTATATAAATAAAGGTGACTTGACTTGATGTTTTCCCCACATGCATTGCTAAAAACTTCATTTGAAAAACTTTAAAGGCGATATTCTCAATATTTTTATTTTTTTGCACCCTCAGATTCCAGATTTTCAAATTGAGTTGTATCTCGACCAAATATTGTCCTATCCCAACAAACAATACATCAATGGAAAGCTTATTTATTCAGCTTTCAGATTATGTATAAATCTCAATTTTAAAAAAATTACCCTTATGACTGGTTTTGTGGTCCAAGGTTTAGAACAATTTAGAACAATGCAAAGAATACAAACATCATTAGAAACTCAATCGAGAGTTCAGCAACACACACCATGAGAGGGGTTAAAATTAAAGATTAAAAAGAGCCAATTTCTCTCTGGCCAGTTTTAGCGTATTGAAATAAAGAAATGAGAATCACTAAACATGATAATTTATGTTACAATTTTAACAAATGCACATTGTTCATGGCAGCATCCCCTACCTTTTACACATTTACTCAAATTGTTATGCTGATAATAATGCATTAAATAGGGAACAGGGAAGTATTTCTGGGAAAACTTTTTCAAAAGAAAACACACACACACAGTGAATAAGCTGCTATCAGCAACATCAACAACTGAATGAAACAAAGTGCTTAACTTGCAAATTGTTTTTGTGCGAGTGCACTTGCTAAATGAAGGCAGATTGTATACAATGGATCAAACAAAAAACGTTGTTTATTAATGAGCTGCAG